AAAAAAAAAAAAAAAAAAGCATTAGCAAATCAAGACTTTCAGTAAGGTATAGTGATGATAAATAAGGGATGAGAAATTAAGCCAATGCCTAAGAAGAATCTGCTATGTGATCTTCGAACGTGAGGAATATTATAGATGCTCGAAAGCTCGCGTATCCTGTGAAGGAGAGGACTCAGAGTTTGATTGGCCCGAGGTTTCCCTTGCCTACTCTCTCTACGATACTTCGAGGTTTAGTTAAGGCCCACCAACAAACTGTGGTAAATTAAAGAGAAATTTACCCCTCTTACGGTTACTTTGCTAAAGAATATTAATAATACGAATTAAGTATCTTTTAATCATAAATATGAAATATTTATTTCATTAAAAAAAAAATTAATTAAGATGGTAGTTATCTACTTCCATAATTATCTGTTCTCTTTCTCACCCTCTTTTATTACGTGTTCTCTCTCTTTCTCTCACTATCATCTCTTTACTTCTTCAGTCTAGTTCTTTCTCTGTCTCTCTTTCTCTCTCACACACCTTCATTCTTTTCTTCTTTTTTCGTTCTTTCGATCTTTGATTTATTCTCTACAATTTCTCATAGCACACAATTTCACAAATTTTAGAAATCGCCTTTCAATTTCGGGTCCTTTGAGATCCACTTCGACGGGGCTATGAGCGGCAGTGCAACGCACGAGGCCCAGACTGACGAAGGCTCTTGAAGATGATGCTTGCCTGACCTGAGTGCGTGGTTGCCCGACCCAACGACAGTGTGAAAGCAGACGATTGGCAAAAACTCAAAATTATTTGCAGTCATTTATTTTCTCACCTATTGAACCATATGAGAGGGGTACGAATGAAAACATTCATGGAGGAAGGCAAAGGAAGAGAACCTTCAAGCCACGAGCCAAGTCAAATCTCGATTGTTTAGAATCTCAATTTTTTTAATTTCATTTTTTTTAATGTTAAGGTGTATTATGTTTTTATTCCATTTCAGAATTGTTTATATGTTGTTTATCTTATGTATAATTATACAATTAATATTAGAGAA